TAGTTTGAATTGCTTTGCAGAGTTGAGTTATAGAGACGCATTAACATACTTCTTGATATGTAACGCTACTATGTAAGGGCATTTCAGTTTACTCACATATATTAAAGTGAAATGCTGTGTGATGCCTGTGTGTCATCTTAGAATTGTGATTATATCCCTGTCCTGTGTATATCTTGTAGTAACTCTACTTATTGTTGTCTCTCCTAACTCTCTTGCCATTTACACTAATGTCCCTATACTCCTGTTACTTTCGCATCACTCTTAACTGTCTTTAGCTTTTGTAATGGCCTATGGGTTGAGACAGTCAAGACCACAGATGACCATTGCACTTTTAGCTATGCTATAACTTAGTGACCTAGATGACTGCATTCTCAGCTATGTTATAACTTACTGACCTTGGTTTTGGCTACCCTTGAAGGAAGCGAAGCTTTTCTGTGAGTGGTAAAGACAAATCAATTTAGAATTTTAATTCACAGTACAGTTGTCCCACTTACACTATTTTCAGTAATGAGATTTTGAACATGTGTAGTCAGAAAATTTCAGAAAAAAAAAAAAATCCTACAAAGTACATTACATTAGCTTCTGTACCATCTCTACATAAATTTAAAAATATCAGTAAATTTGAAGTATATTACAGTAATCTAGGTATGATTTAAAGCATATAGGAGGTCGGATATCGGTCTTGTGCAAAGTAGTGGCAATTATAAAAGGGATTTGAACGTATTGAATTTTGAGTTTACGTGTGGAATGGTTGAAATAATTGACCATTTCAATGGTCAATTATTTCAACCATTCCACACGTAAACTCAAAATTCAATACGTTCAAATCCCTTTTATAATTGCCACTACTTTGCACAAGACCGATATCCGACCTCCTATATGCTTTAAATCATACCTAGATTACTGTAATATACTTCAAATTTACTGATATTTTTAAATTTATGTAGAGATGGTACAGAAGCTAATGTAATGTACTTTGTAGGATTTTTTTTTTTTCTGAAATTTTCTGACTACACATGTTCAAAATCTCATTACTGAAAATAGTGTAAGTGGGACAACTGTACTGTGAATTAAAATTCTAAATTGATTTGTCTTTACCACTCACAGAAAAGGAGGATGCTCTGCTTACAAAAAAAAAATCTGTTTCACATGTACTTTTGAATTCTGCCTATAGTTTACAAAACAATATATGAAGACGGCAGGATGTCATATTGTACTGATCAGACAAGCTTTTACATTGATACATGACAGTGAACAGTATAGGTAAACTGTTTAATTTGCCTGATTTTTTAGAATGGGATTTCTTGTGAATGTGATAGTCATTTAGGAGTGGTGATCATGTATATGGAGTATAATGTTTAGTAAAAAGTATCATACGTGATCAAATGCCATTTGCAACTATTTGTTAGCTTGCTTTGTTAGATAGTGGCCATATAATTTATGATTCTTTTCTGTGTCTCATCTGTGTGAAATCTATTTTTATAAGGCTTAGTTATATTTATTTATAACATTAACATGTACACACCATCATTCTAGTCAGTAGCTGCCATATATTACCTCAGACTCAAGACTACAAGTTCCAAGAAAAATAATTTTGGTTTGATGGAAAATTGTTCGGGGAAATCTCATAACTGATTTCACTCTAGAAAATTCAAATAGAAGTCTCAACGAGCTAAGTAGCATATTGCGAAAGTATTATCGTATGTTCACGAAATATTAGTTTCAAACTGTCCATGTTCTTGGACTTGGTAAACGAAAACTTGTGTAAGCTTCACAATCATGATTAGCTTCCAGTTTATTAACAGTAAAAACCTAAATGTAAAAACGTGGATGTGCTTATGTACAGGTCTTTCATTTATTTTGTTTTACTTGAATTGTAGGTGTTGTACCTTGTAAGCAGTTTCACAAATCCTCTGTGTCAAATTAGTTATTTTTACTGCTTAAGTTATTATGTGTGCTGCTTAGTGCAGTAGTTAGAGCACTCGACTTGGGAAGGGACAGACCCACGATCCAGCCCACCATGGGGCATTAAGAAGAGCATCCAGCCTTAATTTACCTGCTCCAATTTGTCTACGCCCATTCCCATTCGAATGGGGATTAATAATGACACATAGAGCGGCAAACAATAATTAGCTGTAAGTATTACGTATTACTTAAATTCTGTTCAGAATCTTAATTTATATAATTTAAATATTGCTCATCAACCCTCTGCTCATGTTTAGATACAAATGTGTACTTGTTCTTAGTTTGATGATAGCTGAATTTAGTTTATAATTATTTGCACAAATAGACTTTTCATATGTGGTTTATCATGTAGTGTACTGTTATTGTAAAGCATCTTTTGTGATACATTTCCGTTACCTTAAAGATAGTTCTATAAAATAAAGAGCGAATGTATTGTTATCTAGATACTTTTGTACTTTAATGTCAAGGAGAGCAAGCACAGAATATAGGTGTCTTTTTTTTTTAAGCAAAGTAATTTCATAAGGGACAGGTTCTAACTTGTGTCCACCCCCATTATAGAGATTGATTGTGACACAATAAAAAAAAAAATCATAAAGGAGAAAACAATGATTCCATAATATTATGCAAAGTATTTTGTATAATAATGATCATGTTACTATGTCATGGAACATTGATACTCTACGTTTACATACTTATAGACATTGTTTAGGAATAATTTAGTGTGATTCACTAGATGAAAGAAGACAGCCGATCTTTGTACTCAATACTCTACACAAACCTTTTATGGAATATTAGAAAATATAAATATTTTTCATATGTTCTCCAAAATTATGGTAAAGAATTGTAAACAGTCTTGCTAGAGGTATGAAGCATTCATTAAGTTGCTATATCGATATGGTAGGAAAAGGCTCAATAAAGAAAACAACAAATAATATATGAAGTGCTTATTCATTACGTGACCTCAACAGGTCACCCGTTGAAAGTACAGTATTGTACTTTTAGAGGGTGACCAGTTGAGGTCATGAAATTAATAAATACTTCATACATTGTGACCGTTGTATTCCTTCATGGACCTTTTCCTACCATTCAGATGGTATGGTAGCACTTCAGTGTTTTATATATATCAATATGTTAAACTTTATTTTCAAACAGTAATATATAATGAAAATAGCTTGAAAATTCTTCAGTATGTATCAGTGCGATTAGTATTACATTATTAAGTTAAATTTGATTATTATACTGATACATTATCTTATAGTATGTCAGAATATACCGGGCAGATATATTCCAAGAAAAATATACAAACATGTGTGATTGCATCAAAAAACAATATTTTTTGTTCAGTTTCTAGTTAAAGGTATACTTCTTAACATAAAGATTGCATTTATTGCATATACTACTTTGTCTGTTATATGATTGTGAATATCGTTCAACATCTAGTGCCTCTTGGTATTCATAAACTAACATCTTGGTAATAAAGTATTTTTGTTTATATTAGATTTTTGCTTCTATTGAAGTGGAGGAACTACATTCACCAAGATTATAAGAACATGAACTTGAGGGGTGTGAACTACTATACCTTATTATTTATATGTAACTGAAAATTATATTTAAATATTAAACCAAAGTAAAGAATACCAAGTTCATGTCAGTGAACTAGCATATTCTATCAATACTCAATTGTGCATAAAGTAGGAAATAAAGTTTCTGTGAAAAAATAATTTTATATGTACCTGAATACCCTCCTTTTGTGACACATCACTTCCCTTTGACGATGCTAAGATGTGTAAAGTTTGCCTATTATTAAGAACCTATGCACAAGCAAGTTTTTATGATTTATACAATATTAAAGTGCTCTTAATTATTTTACTTTGGCAATAGCAGGAAGATGCTTTGTAACATGGGATGAGAAGATCAATGAATTGATGAGAAGAAAAGCGAGTCATATGAATATGTCCTATTTAAATACTGTACTCCTCTTCTTCTTTCGGTATAGGCAGGATATGACGCTTGGTCAGCTCATAGGCCTTGTCTAAAGTGTTCAGTATTAAAATATTCTTGAGTAACGAGATGAGCAGAGATGTGAAGCAGGGAATTAGAAATGGAGAACACCCATTAAAGAAATTTCAGAATTACATCAATGCACATCAGAAACAGTAAAAACATATACAGTGGTCGCAATCCACCTTGTAAGGGGGATGGCCAAATAAAAGCACATGGAGATAAGAGGTAGCCACAATTCCCCCCTACCGTGCTTGGGCCATCCACAAGGCAAGTGGATGACTCAATAGTGAATAGTAATAATATAAGGGATGAAGATGCCAAGGAAGTGTGAAGCAGACAATTTTCAGTTATGCATACTGCCTTCTACCACCATAATCAGCCGAGTGACCACAGCCAAAGAATGAAAACTGCTTCATAACTAAAATCGTTTTGATTCCATCTCTCTAATCATAAACATACCCTCTTAGTCATAGTTATGCACTCTGTCTATAGTGGACGAGAGCAAGCCTTTGCCGATATTAAATTAAAAAAATATTTACATGCAGTCTTTATGTAAATGCCATAGCCCTCCATATAAGAGGTAGAGGCTGAATTAAAGCAAAAAAATTTTCCTCAAGGAAGGGAGACATAAAGGAGAAGATTCCCAGTCTTCTTACTCTTCCCCATTTAGTCAACTTTAACGACACAGAGGGGAACGAGGAGGTGGTATTCTTGAGCAGTTTCTCCTAATATACCTGCCTTAAGTTTGAGAAGTTGATTTAGCTCACTGACCATTGGCAAGGTAAGTTTTACATCACTTCTCACCAAGTCATTCGATCTCTTGCATGCCTCTCACCTTCCTGGAAGTCAGAGCCTTTCCTTTGACAGTATTTTTATATATCTAAGTGACTTTACAGGGCATATGTGCTCGCCCATGAAGCCGTATCATCCTTGAAGTACGACCCACAGCAATCCACTGAATGCCAGGTGTAGCCTAATTATACGACTAGGTGGAAAGGCAGTTATCTACAAAGAATACTGCCAAAGTGTTCCTTTCTTGCCCCGGATTCGAACCCAAGATCTTTCAGATGTGAGCTGATAGTGCTATCCATTACACCACGAGAAACCCCTCTGTAAGGAAAAAATCTCTAGCATTAGAATCAGCATTCTGAATGGCCTATTTTTATATTGCTTTCAAATGTTATCATCTGTTAAATGACTGAAACTATATCTAATAATGAACACAATTAAAAAGATATCTTGAAGAACTGAGAAATATCCAATTCATTCTTTAGGAAATAATAAAACTGCATCAAATTATAAAAAGAAATCTGTTTTTGTTTTTCTTTTCAATACCATGCTTTATGCATGCTCACATATACAATGACAAGATTAATGACTCAGTTCCTAATGACAGACGTGGAAACAAAATAAGGGAAATAAAAGTAAAGATAAACACTGAAAAATTGCCATGTCATGGGATTACTAAATGCACAGATTTACTAATACCAGAAAAATATTATTAATCAGTGGTAGATTTTTCCCCTCTGTTTGTAGAGTATGAGTATTTATTGAAGTCAGACTCTAAGAAAAATAATATTTCTTTTGTGGGAATTTTATATATATATATATATATATATATATATATATATATATATATATATATATATATATATATATATATATATATATATATATATATATATATATATATATATATATATATATATATATATATATATATATATATATATATATATATATATATATATATATGATAAAAATACACGGGGGCTACGGGGGCACAGTGGAAGTTGTGCACGAGTCAGGAAACGATTAACAAAGGTTCGATGACACCGGTGGTCATTACAAAGGGCATCCAGCCTCAATCCTCCCGCTCCAACAATTCTGTGTCTTCCCCTATTCGAACGGGGACTAATTGGAGCTCATAAAACAGTGCAAAATATGACTGCGAGGGATCCTGTGAACCAGGAATTATAAGATTTTTAACTCATCTAAGTAAATCTACTCGACAATATGTTAAAACTTATATTCTTCATCAAATCGGTGGTTCAGTCTTTTTTTATATAGATTTCAGGTGATCAGTATTATCATAGATAGGTAAATAAACTAATAAATTAATATATAAGTATATTAAATAGATGGGGTTGGGGTAGCTCAGTGGTAGAGTGTGCAAGTCGCGAAGTGACAACCTGACTACTAGGGGAGTGATCCCGCTGTGGGACAATAGGAAGGACATCCAGCCTTACTCAGCTCCAACATATAAGTATCCTCCCCCATTTGAATGGGGTTTATCTGTGACAAAATGATGTAGAAGATGATAACCATACTAGTTTATCCAAAAGCAGGAAGTCTAGAAGATTATTCTAACTTCCACTACCTAATTATTATTGCACTTTTTTTTTTTATCACAAGGAGTTTTATAAAAAAAAAAAGTAGCGACTGTTAACCTCAAATGTCTAATTACTATTGTGATTTGCCTACCATGAAAATGGAAATTATAAGGAATCTGAAGTCCACAGCTTAATTATTATAATGAATTCGTATCATACCAAAGACAAGGAAAACTCAATATATTTTCGTAGTCTGATTATCATTGTGATTCGCACATTATAAGCATGGATTTTAGAAGAATTATGAATGTAATAGTTTAATTGATACTGTAAATTCTTTTCATTCTAAAAAGAAAATTTATATAGCCCAATTACTGTTGTATTTCGTATACCCTAGGCCAGGGATTTACAACGAGAATCCTGACTTCCAGAGAGTAAATGTTATCGTGAATTCTTTCCATACCATACACAACAAACTTTATTTCCATTTCATTATACAATGGGTATTCGTCAGCCAGGGCAAGCCCCAACCCCCCACTGTGGTGTCCAACCACAGCAGTTCCTGCCAGGAAACAGCTTAAACTCTCGGTCTTGGACGGGAACCGATCTTTCGACCTCGTGAATGCGAAGCCAGCGCGTTACCACATAGAAGTCTGACTTCCAGAGCGTAAATGTTATTGTGAATTCTTTCCATACCATACACAAGGAATTTATACATAGTTTTCTGACTTCCATATCGTTAATATTATCGTGAATTCTTTCCACACCATAAAAAAAAATATAAATGGAATTCTGACTTCCATTACCTACTTATAATTGTGAATTCTCTCCATACCATAAACAAAGACATAATAAATGGGATTCTGACTTACACTGCCTTATTATTACTTTCAATCATGTTCATGCAATAAACAAGGAGTATATATATATATATATATATATATATATATATATATATATATATATATATATATATATATATATATCTATATATATATATATATATATATATATATATATATATATATATATATATATATATATATATATATATATATATATATATATATATATATATATATATATATATTTATGGATTTTACTCCCACAGCCTAACAAGTACTGTAAATGCTTATATATCATTAACAATGATACTACCAGAACAATTATTACTATTACAGCTTAATCATTTAAACTA